CGCGGAAAAAGCAAAACCCGCGGTGAGTGTAATGTAGTTAAAAGATGTTGCTTTTTACAGAAACCTTTGAACAGTTGCAGATTGGTTGAATTCTTTATATCTTGTGGTAGTATATTCCATTTGGAACAACCATTGCAGAAAAATGACTTTTTACCAAACCCTTAAACTTAAGGAATTCTGAAGCAAGACTCTTTACTTTACCTGGTACTAATGATTATGTACAGAAATGGCTGAACTAAAAAGTTCATTCATATTTAAAGGGGCAGAATCATTAGGTATTTTTTTTAAAAAAAAACATGATTAAGAATGATTTGCTAGACCCTCCTTAAAACAGGTAACCGGCCTAACTTCTAAATGTGCTCTATATTGATCAAGATTAAGCACACATTTAATAATATTTTTTCTGAATAGCTTGGAGTCTGTTTTTCAGATTCTGAGAACTACCATTATACAAAACCGAGCACTCATAGTCAATATGACATGAGATTAAAGACAATATTTACATTTTCTTGGTATAAAAAAGATAAAGCATTTATTGTCAACAATGAAACTTAAATCTTGCATTTGCCTTTTAATTACTGATATAACAATAGTCTCAAAGCTCAAGCTTTAGTCTTAGGTGGTTTTAAAATATTTGACCGACTCAAAGTGTGATTAAGAAGTACCATTACCAATAATATTAAGGTTTGTTTCTTTTTTTAACATGTGACCCAGATAGAATTGATTCTGTTTCCCTAGATGTAATGACAATTTGTTATCAATAGCCACTTACTAACTTGCTCAAGGTCTTTTGTTAGACAACATTCAATTTTAGATTTATATATACCAGAAACTAAAAAAGTAAAACAATCTGCGTACAATAAAAGTGTTATTTTTTTGTTCAACATCTTCCATGTCATTGACATGTTTAAAAATATTGTGTGGTCAACAGTTTCGATAGCTTTCCTGCAAATCTAATAAAAGTACCCCATCAGTTTACAGTTTAAAAAGTACGCAGTTGTAACACAATTTCAAACTTAATTTTTAACGAAATTTATCGATAAAGGTCAAATCAAATTCCTACACATTGTATCATTACCATTAATATTTATATCAAATAATTTTGATTTCCTTCGATTGATTCAAAAGATATACAGTGGATATGAAATTGCTCACGGCTTTGCCAACGATTTTAACAATTTTTTCATCAAAATTATTTCAGGAGTATTAAAAGCAGCTATCGAAAATTAATTAACAAATTTACTTTATCACTTTTTGAAACGGTTCTGTGTACTCATTTTGATTTTACATTTCGGATGCTAAAATGATTTATGAAAATTTACTGTGAAGTAATCACTACTTCTTTGTACAAGAACTGATACCTCTACTAGTATATAAGTGATAAAAATATACTATCTATCCTTTATAGCCCAAATTGGATGTTTGATTTATAGGTAAAAAGCTAAATTTGCGATTACAACATGGGAGTTTTTATGTGAAAAATGGTTAGAAAATATTCTGGCATTAGGTAAAAGGTAAAAAGTTGAATATGACATTGTTTACAACATAGAAGTAGTGTCCTTGATATTCAAACAAAGGCACGTTCAAGTTGCCATTATCTTTGAATGATGCATGTTTTAGAAAAATGTATTCAGTAAATTTTCAACATATGTCCAACATCTTTTCATTTTCAGAAGAAATTGTTGGCACAGAGATATGTTCAAATAATGACTTTTCTTGTGGGGATGGTTTTTGTATCAGCTATGATTTTATATGTGACGATGATATAGATTGCTTGAATAGCGCTGACGAACAAAATTGTAGTAACACCTACCTCCCTATACCATTTTTTATTTCATTTGTCTTTTTTGGATAAAATTGGTTTACGTATGAATAGTACAGTTTTAAGTGAGCGTTCTAGGACCATGATAGTCTAGACACTCCACTACTTAGGAGTGATTTACTTTGGTATCTATTAAGTTATAATGGAACTTTAAAATTTACCATCATTATGTTTAAGCATATTATTCAAAACCGTTCATGTTTAACAAAGGTAAATGCATGCTTTGTGTTTGTGAGCATGATTGTTTAGACTATGTATTAGTCTATGTCATCAAATGCTCATACAAAATGTTGTCACTAGCCTAATGTATATATGTACTTACTAAACATGACATTTCATAGTTTTTTATGTTTTTTTTTTCTTTTAGTAACAATTGTATTACAATTATCTACTTCATAACATGTTTAAAATAGATTTTTATCAGAAAATCATACCATCTGTCTCCTTTGTAGCGAGTAAGCAAGTATGTACAAGTAATGAATTCAGATGTGATAATGAAACCAAATGTATTGACACCTTATGGAAATGTGATGGTGACTTCGATTGTGATGATCATACAGACGAAATTATCAAATGTACAAACATTTATCAAGTCTGCCCATCAACAGATTTTGAGTGTCTATTGTTTGGGGAATGCATTTCTTTGTTCTGGAAGTGTGATAATGACCCGGACTGTGAAGATGGCTCGGATGAAGGCGAACACTGTAAGTACATATATACAAATAATGTATAGATACATGTACAATGTATATTGTAAATATCTACTTATTTTACACGTCCTACAGTTAATTTTGATCAATTAATAATTGAAAATCAATTGCCCAACAAAGTTTGTCTTTCCCTTGTATCAAACACTCAATTCTATTTGAAAATATTATTTCGGTATACATGGGTTTTATTCAAAATGTCAGGTCATGAATATGGCAGAGATGGCCAGGTATATGTGTGAAAAAACCTTGGAATGCATATCAAGTAAGTTTTGAAAAATGTGATGGGAAAAACGATTTGTTTAGAAAGGGTCTGAATGAAAATGAAATTGTCGTAAGTTGAAGTTTTTGTGAAATTAAAGATAGATGGGTTAAATTAATGCGTATCTTTATATTGTAAGCGAATTATTTATTTGGCAATGTAACCCTCATGATTATGAAAAACTTTAATACTTAAATCAATTTATTTGGTATAGAAAATGTCCGAGCTTTTAAGGTTTAATTTTACCAAAACATCAATTATTAAAAATTTTTGCATTTTGATATTTTAAATTTAGATATCTCAGATTCTATTAAGATGAAATTTGCTATAACATATTGTTGTTAAAACCTCAGGAAAAACATTATCAATTTAACTAGAAAGATTTGTTTCTAATTGAAAAAAAGATGTTTGTACAGTTATTATTGACACTATCATGTATGATTTTTGAAATAGTGTCGTTCAAATGACCAACACAGCCCTATTACGAAATTTTAGATAATACTGGATAAAAGTGCATTTAAATACATTGTAGCTATATTGGTGTTTTTCGAACTTTTTCTTTAAACTGATGGAAAACATAGTAAACATTCGTAGATTTTAATATAACTATGCAATAATCAACATCCATATATGTTAAAACGTTTGTAAAAAAGTGATCAAATATTTATAACAAACAGAAATTTCCCATTTAAAGGGAATCATCCTCCATATTTATAATCACAATTAAAAATACGTGTAACTTCCATTATTAGAAATGCAGGCAGTACATCTCTGTCTTATCGACAACACAATACAAGTTTTTGTAATGTGTTGTTTGGCAATGTTGTTCCACACCTAAAGCAAATCTTATTGACGTTTCTATGGGCTTTTATGTCATAAATTTTAAATACCAAATAGAATCAAGGACAATGATATAGTTATGAAGTGTGTTCCATTAACTCTAACAATATCAAAAACAAAAATGATATCAATCCACCGTATGGAAGTATGAACTTTCTATAGGATGGTAGTTTGATCACGATAATGTTGTACTTAAGTAATTACAAATAATCGAATGAGTTTATAACGTATTAGTACGTCCTCTCCGTGTCCAGCAATATTCACCCTCCATCTCTTGATGTCCTGTTTGGGGTCTTTGCGGTCATCCTGTTTAGCTGAATTTCTCGGGGCTTCATTCTGTGAACGTGACATTCCTTGTCGTATTTTGAAAATTAATAGCAGTTACACTATAACCAATATTAATCTAATTAATTTAATGTGTTTCTGTATTTTGAACGGAAATAATCTTTTATTTACTATGTTTATTATTATTAATTAGAAGAGACACTTACGATATTATTTCAATGTGTACTGGCAGGCAAACTTAAACGAGTTTTTAGATAAAATGAAGTAATAATAATAAAAAGAAAACTTATTACATGAGATAACCAACTTTGGTGTTCACGTTAACAATTTTTAGAACGATATGTAACTATACAGAAGTGTTCCTATGCAGATTCTATTGCAGCAATGACAACTTTATTGTCAGACCCTGACCCAAGCTCTAGTACAAGCACGAGCAAGTTTATTGCGAACAAAGTGGATACTTATAACGACAGCAGATATAGCACCGATATGCGTGCAGATCCTGCTACTGAAATAACAACTTTATCGTCAGGCTCTGAGCCAAACTCTAGTACAAACACGAGCAAGTTTATCGAGGACAAACTGAATACAGATAACAACAGCAGATATAGCACCGATATACGTGCAGATCCTGTGGCCGAAATGACAACTTTATCGTCAGGCCCTGAGCCAAGCTCTAGTACAAACACGAGCAAGTTTATTGAGAACAAACTGAATACAGATAACGATAGCAGATATAGCACCGATATGCGTGCAGATCCTGTGGCCGAAATGACAACTTTATCGTCAGCCTCTGAGCCAAACTCTAGTACAAGCACGAGCAAGTTTTTTGAAGACAAAGTGGACAAAGACAACAAATGGATATTCAGTAATGTCATCACTTATCAATTGAAAAATAAAATCCGCAGGAAACTGCAAACAATTGTAGAGCATTAATAGATATAAAAACATATTAAAAAAATAGCTCTAGAAATATTTTTATCGTTCATAACGGATGTAGCTATGTACAAAATTAAAACATCTCAAAAAATATCAATATGAGACAGCAGAAGAGCAAAAACAACAACAACATAAAATCATATGTAAATGCACCTTTTCTAATATTTATATAAACATTTTTCTTTTATTATAGCCCTGGTTGTGTAACTTTCAGTTGGTGGCGGTTTAATCGTGATAAGTGCAGTCACTGTCGTCATTTGTATTATAAAGTTAGTTTATGTTACACGTATTTCATCTCTTAAGCTGTCTTAGTGAGATACATGACCTATACACTTTATACTGATAAACTAAGTTCTTCAAACAAGGATTGTGCCTTTTCTTTAATCTTGCAGTGAAATAATGTTCAAGCATTTCCGTATTCCATTGTGGATTTTTAACATTTCTTTGTTGCTGATTAAAACTGCATTGTCAGTACCTTAACTTATCAATGTAGTTACAAACGCATCCTTAAGTAACACGTCTTCTGCTGTAATAAAAGTAATATTACTTTATCATGTTTTGAAAAAAGCGTATGGTGTAATGTTGAATTTATAACAAGGTATTATATTTTAGGCGCCGCGCAAGAAAAAGACAAATGCCAAACAATAAAAACAATTCATACCCAATGTTGGACGTAGTACCTAACACACACAAATGTGCAAGTAATGATCCTACTTACGGCATAACTGACACAAATATGTATGAAGGCCTTGACAGGCGTGGAAAAGCTTCATCGGAAGATCTGTACCAGCAGCTTGGTTATATCAATCGAGATATTATGTCTGCACATCTAGAAAGGTAAATATACAAGAACGTGTTATCAAAAGTCGATTGTGATATAAACAGTCATCGGTTTGATTAGTATGATCATTTTTTAACAAGAACACGTGGGCTTTATATTAAATCATTTATTTGTTTTCTTTTAGTTCCTTATCAGTTACTAATTATGTATTCTAAAGAAGTGGTTTGCCTGCCCGTGCTCTGCCTTTGTGCCCTGCCCTGTTTTTCTTTGGGGTCCTCCTGGGCTCCTTGCCGCTGGGTCGGGTGGGGGCTGCGTTCATTGAATGCCGCCTTTCCTTGTCAATCTTTTTTATCATATTTTATCATTTCTTGATTGCTTCAAGGGCTCGTGAAGAATTAATTCTACAGAGCTCGTGTAAGCGATGCTGTATGCAACACCGTATATGGATCAACACCAACAAAAAATGACAATTCAAATCTTAAGAATATCTTTACTTTTATTTTATTCAATTAAGAACATAACTTAATTGTCCGCTTGTGTCGGAAATAATGCAGAGAGGTAGACTGGAGAAAACTAACTGATTACTTACTTTTACATATTTCCCGATGCGTATTATCTTTAATTCAAGCCGTTTTAGCAAACAATTTAGAAACACTTTCTGTTGATTATTTGTAACAATAACAATGGTTTGATTAATGACAAATAGTTCATTTACAAGTAATTACTGTGTTTTCTTTAGGTAACGCCTAAAAGTCCCCGGTCCAGCACCACTTTCAATAAAAGTAATATATCAGTCCTCGATATCCAATAAATAATGTTTATTATACTACATGCGGCACATAATATATTTACAAAGACGAATTCTTGTTTATCTTGATGAAGTTTTCGTATTTTTTCTTTTGTTTTTAGTCAATATGTAAATACTGGTACATGTTATTAACAATCACATACGGACAGACGAGAGTGTAGCAAAGATAACAATTATGAAAACGTAACTCAAATGCATCCATCAAATGAATATGAAAGTTTGTAAACTAATGCAATAGAGAGAATGCATCAATTGAGAAAATAGAAAAAGATAACGTAATGCTAAATACTTTCATTCTGTGGACAAAATGTTAAAGTGTAAGCCTTATCCGGTAATCACCATGTACTTGTAAAATGGATTTCATGATGTTTATTCGCTGTAAATAGATTTCCTTGTAACAAAGCTCATATTTCATCCTTTCTTTAATAAGATAAAGTTGATACAATTTAACAGTCAGGAGATTGGATAGATACGGGATGGTATTCCTTGAATATCTTTACCCGTGTGTTATTGATGTTAAGATGACGTCTTTACACTGTTATGTATGCAACATATTACATGTATATAATTTATATCTGACCAGTTGGTATTTCCAATATTATCATTGTTCTATTTTTAGAACATAAACTACATGTATGTACTAGAAGGTTCTTACCTGTTGTAGAAAAACTCATGCATTATATTTAGATAGAAACTTCTGGAATGATCTTTATTGTTGAAGTTGCTAGATTATGATTACTTGAGAACATAATAGACCTTTCTGGAAACTTCTTAGTTAATATATATAAGGAGACATTTTTCATTAATCTTACCTCTTTAAGTCATCAGTTACCATTTTAGTCATCAGTGATCTTTTAAGTCATCAATATATTTGGAGTATTATTCAACTTGTAAATTAAGTGATTTATTGGAGCTTGGATTATTAATTATTCTTGTGGATTTTATTGTGGGAATTTATTTTAAAGTGTTCTTGGATTTAACTTGGATTTAACTGTGCTATTAAAAAAAGATCATTCCAGGATCAGATTAGACATTTGTAATTTTTATTTGGACTTCAGGTATTTGTAAAGATAATTTGTTATTTTATTTTTTTTCTTTAATAATTTTTCTGTAATAAATTTGTTATTGTTAACAAGTTTGTTGCTGGCTCTTCTTTCTCGTTACGCCTGGCTCGTAACAGAAATTGGGGGCTCGTCCGGGATTGAATATTTCTTTTTTTGCTACATTATTGGAAATTATTACTGTTTATTTTACATTTTATTATTACCGTATTTACTCATCTGAGTTGATATCATAGTTGTTCTATTAAGTGTACCTTTCATTTTGAAATTTTTGAAACACATCACTTTCTGAGTTTAAAACCAGCAGCAAGCAGTCATGTCTTTTAATTTAGAAAAGTTTGTAGCTGAACCTTCCCAGGAGGTATTAGATTTGGCTAAGAAAACTGATTTGCTCGATCTTGCAAAAAAGTATAATTTATTAGAAATTAAATCTTCAATGCGTAAACAAGAAATTAAAAATCTTCTGATTCATTATTTTGTAGATGAAGATATTTTTGGACAAGATGCACTTTCTTACATTGTTGAAAAACACTCTGAAATTTCTGAAATAAAAATAAAAGAGCTTGAACTTCAATTTAAATTTGAACTAGAAAAAATGCAGTTTGAAAAAGAAAGGGAAGAAAGACAGTTAGAAAAAGAAAGGGAAGAAAGACAGATGGAAAAAGAAAGGGAAGAAAGGCAGTTTGAAAAAGAAAGAGAAGAGAGAGAATTTCAGTTTAAAATGAGAGAATTAGAAATCAAAGAGAGAGCAAATCAGTTTGAACATAGAATGAATACAAAATTTGATGTCACTAAAAATATTAGGCTTGTTCCACCTTTCCAAGAAAAAGAAGTTGATAAGTATTTTCTTCATTTTGAAAAGGTTGCTGAAAATTTAAAATGGCCAAGAGAGCACTGGACATTACTTTTACAGAGCGTTTTAATTGGTAAAGCTCGTGAAATCTATACACAACTTACTGTTGAGCAAAGCTCTAATTATGATAATGTAAAAGAATTAATTCTGAAAGGTTATGAATTAGTACCAGAGGCCTACAGGCAAAAATTTAGAAATTCTAAGAAAGAAATTGGTCAAACCCACGTCGAATTTGCTAGAGAAAAAGAACAACTTTTTGATAGGTGGTGTCTATCTAAGAAAATTAATAAAAATCATGAAAAGCTCAGACAGCTCATGTTAGTTGAAGAGTTTAAACGTTGTATTCACTCTGATGTTAAATCTTTCTTAGATGAAAAACAGGTAGAAACTTTAGAAGAAGCTGCCCGTCTAGCTGATGATTATTCTTTAACCCACAAAGTCTCATTTATAAATAAAGGGAAGTCCACACCCTCACATTTTAATTCCAAGTTCAATTCTGGTAATTTATCTGGCTCATCTAGTCAGTCAAATACTCCCAAACCAAAGTCATCTGATGAACATAAAGGTCATAATCCCTTATCTCGTCCTACATGCAATTATTGCAAGAAAACTGGACATCTTATTTCTGATTGCTTTACCTTAAAAAGGAGGCAACAACAACGTGATGAGGCCAAACCCACAGGTCTTACCACTTCAAGGTCTGAACCTCAGTCTTGTATTGATAACAATGCAATTTTGAAGGTCAAAGAACCCAAGTCTGATTCTATAATGGAGATTTATGAACCATTCCTTTCGGAAGGTTCCGTGTCACTTATCGGTGATACTTGCCCACCTACTCCTATTAAAATTTTAAGAGACACAGGAGCTTCTCAATCTCTTATTTTAGCAGATACACTGCCTTTTTCTGAGAAGACTTCTTCTGGATCTAGTGTCCTTATTCAGGGTGTAGAGTGTGGTTTTTCTAATGTCCCTCTCCATAATATTTATTTGTCCTCAGATTTGGTAACTGGGCCGGTGGCTGTAGGTATAAGATCTTTCTTACCCTTTAAAGGTGTTCATTTATTGCTAGGTAATGACTTAGCTGGAGATAAGGTAGTGGTTAATCCACTTGTAACTGACACTCCTTGCGTGGATCAGATACCTGACCCCATTGAGCAGGAAATTCCTGACCTTTACCCTTCATGTGCAGTTACTCGAGCTATGGCTAAGAAGGCCATTCAAGAAGATAATTATTGTTCAGATATTGACTTAGCTGATACTTTTATAGGTCAGTCTTTTGATAATGAAATGAATTTTTCTCTCACTCCTACTCTGCCTGAAACTCAGACAGATTTTTCAATATCTGATTTTTCTACACCAAGATCTAAAGATCAAGGTCATGATACGCTGTCAAGGTCACAGCTTATCCAGGAACAACAAAATGATCCTGAGATTTCAGTCCTTTATCAAAAGGCTTTTAGTGAAGATGAAGCTTTACAAGTCCCTGTTTGTTATTATGAAAAGAATGGGATTTTAATGAGAAAATGGCGACCGCCCGATGTCCCTGCTGAAGAGGAGTGGACTGTAAATCACCAAATTGTGGTCCCTAAATCTTATCGCCAGGAAATATTACACTTGGCTCATGAAACACCCATGGCAGGTCATTTAGGTGTTAATAAAACCTACCATAAAATTCTCAGTCATTTTTATTGGCCTGGCCTTAAAGCAGATGTATCTAGGTACTGTAAATCTTGTCATACTTGTCAGATGGTTGGAAAACCTAACCAGACAATACCTAAAGCTCATTTACAGCCTATTCCTGCATTTGATGAACCTTTTAGTAGAGTTATTATTGACTGTGTAGGTCCATTACCAAAAACTAAATCAGGTTCTCAGTACTTATTAACTATCATGTGTGCTTCTACGCGCTTCCCTGAAGCCATTCCTTTAAGGAATATTAAAGCCAAAACTATTGTTAAGGCTCTTGTGAAATTTTTCACTTTTGTTGGTTTACCTAAATCAGTACAGTCTGATCAAGGGTCAAACTTTATGTCTGGTATTTTCCAGCAGGTCATGCACGAGTTAGGAATTACTCAATATAGGTCTTCAGCCTATCACCCTGAAAGTCAAGGTGCATTAGAAAGATTTCACCAGACTCTGAAAAATATGATCAGGTCATATTGTTTTGATACTGAAAAAGACTGGGATGAAGGCATTCATTTATTGTTATTTGCTGTAAGAGAATCTGTTCAGGAATCTCTTGGCTTCAGTCCTTTTGAATTAGTATTTGGTCACACTGTCCGAGGACCCTTAAAACTTCTTAAAGAGAAATTCCTGTCTGAAGATGACATATCTTTAAATTTGCTTCAGTATGTATCAGATTTTCGAAATAGGTTGACTAATGCATGTGAGTTAGCTAGACTTAATTTAAAATCAACACAAAGTAAAATGAAATCAAGGTATGATGAGAATGCTCATGAAAGAAGTTTTAACCCTGGTGATAGAGTACTTGCTCTTTTACCTATACCTGGAAAACCATTACAGGCAAGATACTTTGGTCCTTATACTATTGAGAAGAAAGTCAGTGACCTTAATTATATTATTAATACTCCTGGGAGGCGAAAGCAAAAACAAATGTGTCACATAAATATGTTAAAAGAATATTTTGACAGAGATAGCGAAATTAGTAAACCTATATCTTTTGTAAACTCTGTTCCACAAAATCAATGTTCAATTGAATCTAATAGGTGTGAAAATTTTGAAAAGTCTGATCCTGGTTCAGCGAAGCTTGAAAACTCTGATATTCTGAAAAATCTGGATGAAAAACTTGCTCACTTAGAACCGTCGAAACGAGATGAACTGAAACAGCTTATTTATGAATATGAACACTTATTTCCTGATATTCCCACACGGACTGACAAAATACATCATGACGTCATTCTTGAAAACTCTGAACCAATAAAACAGCATCCATATAGAACAAATCCTGTAAAACAAAAGTACCTAAGACAAGAAGTTCAGTATTTATTGGATAATGACTTTATTGAACCAAGTCAAAGCAATTACAGCTCTCCATGTATTCTTGTACCGAAATCAAATGGAACATATAGAATGTGTACAGATTATCGTAAAGTGAACTCTGTAACAAAAACTGATTCATTTCCTATACCAAGAATTGATGACTGTATTGACAAAATTGGAAAAGCAAAGTATGTAACAAAGTTTGATCTTCTAAAAGGATTCTGGCAAGTTCCACTTACTGATAGAGCTAAAGAAATATCAGCCTTTGTAACACCAGACGGCTTATATCAATATAAAGTCATGCCATTTGGTATGAAAAACTCACCAGCAACTTTTCAGAGACTTATAAACATGGTAATATCTGGTCTACACGGATGTGACGCATACATTGATGACGCAATCATCTATTCTGATGAATGGGAGGAACATCTCAAAACAATAAGAGCATTCTTCGACCGACTTAGTGATGCTAAATTGACAGTTAATCTTGCAAAAGTGAATTTTGTCATGCAATTTTAACTTTTTTAAGACATGTAGTGGGACAGGGTAAAGTTAAACCAATAGAAGCTAAGGTCAAAGCTATCTCTGAATTTCCTGTGCCAACTTGTAAAAGACA